AGGGGGGCCTGGGCCATGGATGGTTATATGAGGAAGAGGATGCGGATGGGGAGATGGGAGCTGGAGCAGGGAGATGGAGCAGGGAGCTGGGAGCAGGGAGCTGGATAGTATGGTGGAGGTGCTGTGCCATGTGTGAGTGCTTCAATTTGCGTGTGCACTGGGAAACTAAGGGAATATTTATTCATTAAACCCTTGTAATTATATTTTTCTATTTTTTTAAATTTAAGAACTTGTGATATTACCATTTAAGTGTCTTAAGTTTAGACTTCTCTTTCAAATTTCACCTATTTTTTGACTCTCTACAATTTAATAAATAAAATTTCTTGTCAAAATTAAAGCTAGTTTTCCTCAGTGCATTGTCTTGGGTCTCGGTAGTGCAGCTACCAGAAAATGCTGCTTCGCTTTTCCTTACTTCCTTCCTTCCCCCTCACCCCAAAGTGGAATGAAATTTGTGCTGTATGTAAAAATGTTATCGCGTTTGCTCCGACGCTTGTCGGAAAATATTCGACATATCCTACAAGCCGGGCATCCAGGAGAACCCCCCACCCACTCACCACTCACCACCGCACCCCCAAACCCCTCGTAATTGGGCCAACGCCGAACTGTGGCAACTGTAATTGTTTTGCTGTTGAATTTTCGCGCTTCCCCTTCTCCCTTGCTCCTCGAATGTAACAATAATTTTCCACTCTTTTGTTTAACATGGTCGAAAAACATTTGTGCCTTGCATGTTGATTTTCCCCAAAGCTTTTCCAGCCCGTGCTGGCGAGGGGGAGGGGAAAAACCAACACACGCTCTCTGCCCGTATTTGACCTCCATTTCTCAGAGGCATTTGCACTGATTGCTGTTTGGTCACTGGCCACGGGGTTCATCCAGCCATGCTCCACATATTGATATATATGTACTATATCTCTCTCTGTATCTCCTGGGATCGGGCCTCCTCTCGGCACCTGTTTAATAACTCAATTTTATGGCCAATGGCTACAGGTTGCTGTTCCGCGGCTGCTTATTCATTTGGGTCCTGGCCATCCTTTAGCCGATTTTCCTTTTGTATGATTAATGCGAGAGTTTCTATGCTGGCAAAGCCACATTCGTTGCCCAAAAAATATTTCATAATTCATTCGGCAAGGCATAAAAGTGTCCATAAAAAGTTTTATTACCATTTCTAAAATCCTGTTGCAGGCACGAAGAGAGGAGGTTTAGTTCCATTCCCAGGTTCTCATCGGAGTCGGAGTCTGTGCCTGATTTGCTTATTAACGTGGCTCGAGTGTGTCATAAATTTCGGAGATAGATTTATGCAGCATCTACATACATTCGCCCTCTCTCTCTATATTTACTTTGTACCTGTGCCGGTACGACATTCAATTTCCTGCCTGCCATATGGAAGTCACCTTTTCTGGCTGCCGGAGATGAGTGTGAGAAAGCGATTTGAGTTTGCAAAGAGCCACCAGTGCGTATACGCAATGTGGCAAGAGTTGAACCGAAAAAAAAGAGCTGCAAAAAGACAGAAAAACAGAGAAACAGAGAAATCTCCCGAGAGCAGTTGCCAAATGCAAAGAGTCATGGCCAAGCGCAACGAATGCAAAGACATTGCCATAACTCATTCAAACGACACACGGCACTCAAGCGATCGATGACAACGGCGAACAAACAGCCGCCAGAGGATTCTCAAAAACCAAGAAGAGCACTGGAAAAAAATATTAGGAAAATCTAGAAGATATGCTGGCTGGTTTGTGAAAGAAAAAAGTGGGGAAAGAATGCCTTTATCTAACATAAAATCATAAAGAAATTAGTCTCTAAGGAGGTAGCGATATTTAAAAATTAATATTTGCCTTGAAAGTATAGGTTTTTAAGGGTATTTTAAACTGAATTACTTAAGGATTTTTTTTTATCTTTTTTAAAAACTAAATTCCTCCATTAAATTCTCCTAGATTCTTTCACTTTTTCTACCACAAATTTTCCTTCAAGTGCAAATAAGTTGGCCCTGGGGTCAGGCCGGGCATCGATCGATCGCTGATCTCCACGATCGCCGCTGGCAAATGTGCGATCGGGGATCACTCACGGCAGATTTCTGTGTCCCCAGTTGCCTCTCTTCCCCTGCTCTTTGGGCCATAAATTTGTTCTGCATTTGTAATTTCTATTTTACAACCGGCTTTGCTATGCGATTCGATCCACAGCGAACCGTACTAGGCGGCGTATGAGTGATATATAAGCGGAGATGAACAGCGGGGAAATCGATAATCTATCCATCAGATTATGTAACATCCTTGGCCATCAAATACGCGGCCTGGCAACATACATATACATGATATTTATGCATGTGCAACGCGTCGCATGAGCGATGCTTATTTAATGGCCCATTGCATTTGCATTTGGGCCGTTAGATTCTTAGATTTTTACATTTTTCCGCCATATGTCTGCATATTTAATGCCCTCCGCATTTGACTGATTCGCAAAATGTGGGCGTGGTCAGCTTGAAATTTATGCATTTTTCAATGCCATTACTCAGCTGCAGCGAGTCCCGCGGCGATTCTTGGCGATTCGGTGATTTTGGCCCGTTGTAATTCTTTGGCTAAATGCTACCAAATTAGTTTGGAATTATCTTGTGAAATAAATCGCCGACTGCCGCTGCTGCAACTGCAACTTTGACCGCCTTTTTATTGCCATTTATGAGCACAAATTATTTATTATTTGCAGCTTAATTTGCTTCCGAGCTACGAGTGTTTTGCTTACGACTTGGCCTCGGGGGGCGACTCGATTTTTCTGTTTTTAAAAAACACGACCCAGAATAGCATGCAACGACTAGGAATACCACCAGGTGGTAATTGCCACCAAATCGTGTCTAATTATGCCAGGTGATATTTGAGGCACAGTGCTGGTTATAAAGATCGATATGTTAGTCGAAAATTTTAGATATATCGATGAAAATTCTATATTTCAAATTTTTTTGTTTAATTTTATCATTATAAAAATTATTTCTAGTTGCTCAAGTTTTTTAATATTTAGTGTTTTTTTGTCATCGATATTTTTGATACATTTATTAATATCGATATTTTATTATGTCTCATTCCTAATTATTATAACTGTTTAAAAATATATAGAGATATTACAGAATAATTTTCTTCTGATTAAATAAATATTCTAAAAATTCCTTGTTTTATTTTAACAACTTTTTTCGATACCTAAATGTTATCGATAGTTATTTCCTAACTCCCAAATTCTTTTCCTTACAAAAAACATTGTCCAAATTACATTTCCGATTGATTGTCCATCAAAATGCACTTCAAAGGCACCCAGACCCTTGGGCCATTCAAATATATTTTGCTGGCTAAGCAGCAGTGGCTGCAGACTTTTGGCCAGCACTGTGTTGTCTGTTCTCCAACAGCAAACAAGATTTATTTACGAGTCGGGTTCCGTTTTGCAGATCGAAGGCGAAAAATTCAATAAAACTGAACTGAAACGTTTTGACTTGCTTCCGGGCTTTTTGTTTCTCCTCCGCCACCGCCGCCGTGGATTCTCCTTTATTTATTTCTTGTTGTGTGCCTTTTGCCACCAACTGTGGCTGGCATTTTTATTGTGGCTCTTGATAGCCTTGTGATTTCAGTTGTTCTTTTTTTTAGTTCTTTTTTTTTTTTTTTTGAGAGATTTGCGCCGCTTTGTCGGCCATGATAAATACACAAACGATTTTCAGGTTTCTCGGCCGGTGGCCGCAGGACAAAAATGCCAGAGCCTTGGCCATGTTTCAGTTTTGTTTTCGGTTTCAGTTGCACACTCGGAATCAGAGTCTCAGCTGAGTCAACATTCCGCTCATTGCCACTCAATGAGGAGTCGCAAATACATATCTCACATTAGAGGGTAAGCCAAGGGGAAAAGGGCCAAAGACACCCAGTGGCTGGCCAAGGGTTAAGACCACACCTCGACTGCCACTCCGCGACAATTCATCAAGCAGCAAGACAGCAAATGAGCAGCGGGGGTCGTCCGCCGTTGACACTGACATACAGGTTGGCTCGTCGTCGTCATGGTCTTCCCATCGTCATCGCATCTGAAAATCTCCTCTTCTGAAACCCCAACTGAGTGATGACCGCGACAATGGCGAAAAATGAAAGCCCAGAGACGGTGCGATCAAAACTTCCTGGAAATTAATTAAAGATCTAACTCACACTCGAAGGAAAGGTGAGGGCACTGAGGGAAACGATGGGTTTGAAAGAATCATTTTTAAAATATTTATAAGTAAAATAATAGAAGAAACTTTTCTGTTCCCTAAGAAAAATATATAAATATATATATTTAGATATTTATTTCTGTATATTTTATTTTTATATATTTATTTAGATTTATTTCTTAGAAAACAGTGTAGTTTCTTCTTGATTCTCCTTTCAGAAAGTGTCTTTTCCTTAATTTCGTATACACTTAATTAGTTTATAATTTAAAAATATACTTTTGTTTAGCTTGTATTGTATTGTATTATTTCCCTTTTTCTTCAATTTTTTGTAGCTCCAATTTCCTCTTTTTTTATTTCTCTTCATGTAGAACTCTAGACTCTGCTACTCCCTCCACTTTCCTTAGGCTCTAACGAAGCTCCTAGTGGGGGCCCCCGTCTGGCAGGTCTGGTCAATAATTATCGACGCTTATCAAAGACACCGTTACAGATGCTCGCACATGGACAGAAGAGGCGCTGCCTGGCAGCAGCAACGGTGGCAATGGCCAAGACCAAAGACCGAAGACCAAGTCCATGGAGATGGCGAGATGGCGATGTGGCAGTACCTCCGCGGAGAGCCAAGTCGGCAGCCCACCAAGTATGGTCAGTGGATATGTGTGCCTAGACTGGAATGCCGCTTCGGCCCTGCTCCTGCTCCTGCTCCTGGAGAGGCCGCCTGTCTCCGACTCCTGGTCCCAGGCCAAGTTCCAAGTCCCGTCGGCTGATGCTCCCTAGCCTTTGTTCATTTCGGTGCGGTGCAATTAATATTCAACGCCGTTGGCTGATCATAATTTACGTGCTGAGTTTACGATGCGACTGCATCTCCCATGTCCACCTAGAAGATGTTTACAGGGAGAGAAAATTTAATTAATTAATTTTAGTTGGTGGGGAAACTCTTACAGATAGTTTATTAAGTGGAAAACTAAGTTGTAATACTTTACAATTAAAAGAAAAATATAAAAATAATATAAAAGGTCTTTCAAAATCTTTAATTACCTTGAAGAATATTTTCTTTAGATATAAAGACATTATATCTACCATTTCTCACTCTGTACTTCCCCCGTTTACTGCCTCTTTTCAGCTGAGAAGGCGTTGCCGCCGCCTGCAAAAGGGGGCGTTCATACATGGACCCGGTGGAGAACTAGCTCGACTTGGACAAAAGGGCATTCTATTTACATTGCGCTGCACTGCACGTGTTCCTTGGCCAAGTCATAGTCATAGCCAGGGGGCCAGAAGCTGCTCAGCCAGAGAGCTTGGCTGCGGAATTAATTCCCCGACCTGCTCAAAAAACCAGCCTTCGGGGGTCACTCGAGTCAATAAAAGTCAGCGGCCAAGTTTGGGCAAACTTCAACTCCAATTTCGATACCAATTCCTAAGCCAATAACTTAACCAATTCTTTAACCACTTCTCTTACCAATTCCTTGACTTTAATTTCGGTAATTGACAAACATTCGCATTCATTCGATTGACAATTCCATCCGCCTGCTAATTGAGAGAGAAAGCTCGCTCTAGTGGCCGCCACATCGCGATATGTCAGCTGGCCCATTTATGAGACGGCGGCGGAATAGGGTTAAGAGTGACACCCCAGAGACCTACATATTCCAAATCCGAAACCGAATCGGAGTCCGCAACTGATTTGCATTTCGGCCTAACGACTTTTGGAGGCAGAGGGCCATTGCAGGGAGGGAAGCAGCAGCAGTTGGCAGTTGCATTTCACATGGATTTATGCAAGCCATTCGCACCGCCTTGCCATTTCATTTTGGGGTACCAACAACGGCGGTTATCACCCAGAGATCGTTGGCTCTTTGAGTTTTGGAACTTAGAGTTGACGAAACAGATTTTTTTAAGACTGAAAATGGCTTGAAAATGTGCCAAAAAAGATAGTTATTCAATATTTTAGTTAGTTTTTAATAAAAGGATTTTCTTAGTTATTTCAGAATTTAAAAAGACAGAACATTTTTAGAATAACTTAGAATAGATTATGTTAAGATTAATAATAATTTTTGAATATTTGTATTTGAAATTTAAGTATTTTTAAATTTAATAAAGATTCTGGAAGATTATACTTATTTAAAGTTAATTCAATAATTCCCTAAAATCCATGCTGTAAAATCCTATATTTTCACGAATAGCCTTCCCAAATATTCTTATTTTTATTATTTTAAATTTTAATATTCAGTTTCCGTTTAATTTTTATAATTTTCTTCCCTCTTTTTGGTTTCATACAAATTTTGGCACCACTGCCAAGGCCTGGCCTTCGCGTTTCTGGGTCTTTGGGGAGCCACACAGAACCCAGAGCCCGAAAGTCATTAAAATATATGACACCCACAGATCGGCGATGCATCTGCGGCCCTCATCTCCAGCTCTCTCTCTCTTGCTCTCTCTTTCGCTCACCTGTCCGCCTGCCTAATTAGACACACTGCAGCGGTCTCTGTCTGGCCTTTAGAGCTCCTTTTTGGCCCGGCTTTCTTCGTGTGTGGTCCAATTAATTTTTCGGATAGAGCAATCAACAAGTTTCTTTTCCTTTATGGCTGTTGTTCAACATGTTGCAGGTCAATTTGTTGGCTTTTTGGTATACCGAAATCCCCAAACGCCAAAGCGCCGTGTGTGGTCCGGTCTTAGAGGGTCCCCAAAAAAGGTTTCTCAATTAGAAGTTCGCCAGCGAGGAGTCTCTATGTGTCTCTGTGTCATAATAATTAATTAGCTAGAATTTGGCCTCGCTTTGACACTTTGCCTGCTGCGGGGATTTGCCTTATTTGGCATTTTCCGCATTTTCCTTATTTGCTAGGAGCCTGGAAATTGCATTTCCCTGCGGTTTTCTGCTCCTTGGCACGTTCGACTCTTAATTAATTTGATGCCACATACGAGTTGGAGTTCGACTTGGTGAACGAATACGAGTGCATACATAAATACGGCCTCCTGCCACGTTTGTTTTTGGCCCAAATTTGACGCTCGCGGTTTTGGCTAATTAGCAAAGTGTGCCTGAGCCGAGGCTGAGTTTCAGTTTCGGCTTTGCTTTTTGTTTTTCTGGGATCGCAAGGCTCGCGACACACAGAGTCGAGAGAGTGTGGCACAAATTTACGGCTGTTTTCCACAGCTGCAGCTGCCACAAAATGCAAATTGGCCAAGACGCAAGACAGCGACGAGACCGCAAGCCTGATGATGATGTTAGCCTTGTGCAGCAGAGGCTTTTACTTCAATTAGCTGGAATTAGGTGGAAAAGGAACAGGATGTCGAGGAGAAAAGGAAACGGGAATGCAGAGAGTCAGGTATGAGTTAGACTTGCAAGAAATTATTATTATTTATTTTTTAAATATAATTCAATGAGCTTTAAGACCTTAGAGGAAGTCTTAATATTTGTAGAATTAATTTGGGACATTAGAAAATATTTTACTAAATATTTTGACTAGTTAAAATGTTACTATAACTTGTAATAAATGAATTAATTAATAAGTTCTTAGAGAAATGAGTAAGTTCTTCATGGAATATTACTATAATAATATTGTTAAACAATTTATAATGAGTTTTGAGGACCTAGAAGTTTACCTAATTTTTGTAGAAATAATTTAGGCTATCGGGAAATATTTTAGTGACTATTTTGACAGCGAGTTCCCTTAGTGCACAAAATAAACTCTTCCCGACTCCATCTCCCCCCCAGTTACCCTTTCCCCCGAGCCAAAACGAGTCTGTCAGCTCTTTTGTATCTCAAAAATGGCAACTGTGCGCCGGAAGTGAATGTGTGTTAGATTTTTCAATGCAAGTGCAATGAGAGCGTAAATGCTTCACACACAACACACTCCCCGGAGTGGTTCAGTACAGTAAGCCCCCAGTAACAGCCAGTAATCCCCCCTTTGGAACCAAATAGAACCGAAACAAAACAGGAAGAATGGCCAGACATGACACACACTCGTATATCTATGTAAATGCCGGCGAGCGAGCGAGGTGTGCGAAATGTATTTCTGGCCGACGAAATAGATTCGCAAATTTTATGCAGCAGCAGGAGCCCAGGGAGCTGGCTATATTCCCACTCGGGGAATATACTACTCCTGGGCAGGGGAACACTTTTACACCCGCGACCGATGCAAATAAAAAATAGGAGAAATAATCGAGGCTTGCAGCAGTTGCTGCTGCTGCTGCTGCTCCTCGGAATAAATTGCCATGTTGTTACAATTTCTTCGTGTTGCAAGAATAAATTTAAGGAAAGGATGTAGGCTAAGCCAGGTTTTCCAAGTTCGCCAGGTTCACAAATGCTGGCAACGCATTGTACAGTGGAAGAAATGGGTTTGAGATATGAAATGAGACTAAAAACTAAGCCACTTTTGAAGTTGAAATATGTTTTAAAACTTGAACTTTGAACTTGATCTTACTTTAAAAATTTTTTAAAAATATTATATGCCTTGCTTTAATCTTATTTACCTTTATTTCTCCCAGTATCACTCCTTGAGGTGCTGAGCTGAACATGCAAATAATTAATAGCATTATAAGATGCACTCACGAAATCGCGCACAACATCGTCGGGGCGATGTAATAACTCAACGGCAGGCCTGGGATCCCAAGGCAAAGGCAGGCTCCAGGCCCCAAACACCACACCAGGTCCCAATCCAAATCCGAATCCGAATCCTCGTCGAGTTCCAGATTGTGTCGCTCTAAGGACAAGGACAATAAGTGTTTGCGAAAGCCACAGAGTCACGCGCTCCTCTGGCCTGGCCTAGGAAATTACATAACCCCGGCGAAGGTGTTAATGCAAATCCCCCCCCCAAATATGCTAATGAAGGATTTGCTGGCCAATGACCAGCCAGACACCAGACTGTAGCCAAAAGTCGAAGCTGGTGGCAAACATAATTGCCACAGCACGTAGCACGTAGCTTTTTGGGGTCAGCGAACCGCGCGCACAAAATTGAAGACAATCAATGCAGCGGCAGCTCTGACATTGATTTATGAACTCTTGGAAAATTAGGTAAGACCATTTTTGGTCACTGAATTTCCAAAATAAAAATATATATAAAAAAGCACAGAAAACCACAAGAAATGCAGTCCAAAAATGTGACAGAAGTGAAGGGTTTTTTGAGACCAGTGATATGGCTTTCTAAAAGTCAAGAAGAGAAATTAATCTCTATATACTTTTCAGAATTATAGAAACCATTCCATAACTCCCTGAGAGAGTTGGAAAATCTTAAAAATCGAGTTATTATTAAGGTTCAATAACCGCACCATTTACAGAAGCTGAGCCAAATAACTCCGTGGAGCACATATAAAAAATATATACATATAACTCTGCAGAGCACATAAAAATACATAAAAAAATATAAAAATGTACATGTCCAAGCCGAGGCAAAGGCGATTCATTACCAACTTTACCAAAAACGAGTTAAAATTGTGGCGAAAAAATTGCATAATTTGTGTGACATTGACTGCGCCAGCAGCTACGACGGCTGCCCGCCAATAAAATGTCATTTACCGGCGTATAAATGCGGAATGCATCCGTTGCCAGTGCCACCGCTGACATCAATAAAATATATATTCATTTTTGTATAAAAATGCACGAATTTTAATTAATTGATAAATTCGGTAAAGAGCTCAACAACAAGAACAACAACAAGAACATTCGAACGACACTAAAAGGTCCCGCCAGAAACGAGGGCCAGGAGGGGGCCAGAAGTGCGGCTGTCAATTACGAGGATGTCGACGGAGGATGGACTCTGGCTACTTGGACTCCAAAAGCTACGTATTCCCAAGCCGGGATTCAACTCCCTCTTTTATTGATGTTCTTTTTAAGGGGTAAGGTGACTATATAAAGGAGTTTGTAGAGGTTTTGGTGGAGGTTTTAAAAGGATAGTAAAAGGTTTTGATATCCCATTTTTACTTAGTTAAAAAATATTTAAAAAGTTAAATCTTTCATCATATAAATAATCAAATATTAACTTAATTTCTTAAGAATTTCAAAGAGTTTCCAAGTACAAATCTCCCTAAAAGAGTACTTACACCTTCGGCTTAAAAGACCCACCTCTTTCCGCCTGTTTTTATTTGTAATTTTTCCTTTATTTTTTTTGCCCATCTTGTTTGCGGCTTCTGACGTTGTTGGGGCGTTAATATTCATGAATCGAAATAATTTGACAGTTCGGGGCAACATGCGAGTATGCCATGGCGACTGTATGGGTTCCATCGAGATATTTATGCCGCCGCTGCTGCTGCTCCTGCTGCTTTTTGCTCGACTTGGGTTTGGGCCTCCTCCTCGGCTGTCAGTGGAACTGCGTGAGGCGTTGGTGAAAAGTACTCGAAATAATTGACAGCTGTGGCTGCCTTTTTTGTTGCCGTGGCGGCTGGCCTGTCCTTTGCTTTTAATTGTAGAATTTTTATGGCTCCCGTGGCTCTTCATAGTCGAACTGTCAGTCGTCCAGCCTTGATTACTTGGCCTGGTCAGTCATTAAGTCATCGAAGATCGTCGTCGTCGTCAACTGCCTGGGATAATCCTGGGGATCTGGCAAAAAGTCTTTTATGGAACCATAAACTCGATGTGGAGGAAGTCTAATCAAACAATAAAAGTTTCGCTTATCTGAAACGCACTCATTAAAGTCTAGGAATGCAATTGTATTTTAGGATCTCGCAAATGTCGAGCGTTACTTTTAACGATAATGGAAGAAATCTGCAAAAGGCACTTAGGGAAGGTGAGATGATCAGGGAAATGATTCTGGAAGAGATAAGATTGGGTAAGAACCCTGGAAAGAGGATACTTAGTACTTTTGGAATTTTAATCAGACTTTATTTAAGTTGAAATTGAATTTTAACATATTTTTTTGAAACAGATATTGATTATTTATTTAATAAATATATTTATACCTATTTTAATTTTAGTTAAAACTAATTTTTTAACCTAATAAAAACTAGCATTTATGCCTTATTGCATTTTAGGCTTAGTTTTAGATTTTTAAAGTTTCAATTTTCCCAAAAAAAATATCATATAAAAATATGGAAAAATATCTAACTAAAGAATTCCAATATTTTTGGTCTTCTTGAAGGGTTTCAAATTTTTTATAATTTTTCCAAAGCTAATTTTTAGGAATTTGTATTTTTAAATGTAGTGAAAATTATTTTTTCAACAAGAGAAAATGTTCAAAGAAGAAAGGTATCTCTTCTATTCCTAGAAAACTATTTACAAAATTAAAGATACATAATTAAAGATGTACAAAATGGCATTTCTCACAATAAAATAAAACAATTACTTCAACTGAATATATTTAATGTAAGCCACATAATTGCAACCAATTACCCTTTGTAATTCAAGTGACTCCATATTCCTTTCCCATATTTCTTTTAAATTAATTCAATTTTCGTGACAAACTTTTGCCCGAAATGAGCTTAGTTAAACACATAATTGAATGCAATTGAAAACGAACCCCTTTTGGGTTTCCCAACCAATCATATTTCCACTGTTATTGCTAAGGTGCTTCTTTCCCTCGCAGAAAAAACCAACCAATTTGAAGTTTAGTCGAAAAGTTGACAGGAGGCACTTGGCCAGCTGTTGCTCCTTGCGAAGGCTAATTGTAATTGTTTTAATGAATTCGTTGTGGTTTTGAGCAATTTGCATGCAACTTTTTCATTACAACGACGTGTGTTTCGGTTTGGGTCTCCGTCTCCATCTCCATCTCGGTTCCTGTTTTCAGTTTCCGTTTGTCACCGGCAAAAGGTAGCCAGCCCGTCGTCATGTGTGTTGACTGACCTGGGACCGAGTGGAGCGAGCTGCACACGCAAATTGCTAATTGAATTTAAATTGCACTTTAATTTGATGAGCGGCCCGCTCGGAGATGATAAATTGTGCAAACGCTTGCCAAAGCTTCGACCGCAACAATCGAGAGCGAATTAAGGCTTCGACATGCCACTTTCACTCTGCCATGACGGCTGTCAGCTGGGAGGGTCAGGCATTTCACCAGAACCCCTCCTCTCGAGTGCATTATCCATTTGCAGGCACTGTGGAAAATAGTTGGGGATTGAAAACGGAAAGAAATTGGAGGAACCAAAGAGTATCTAATACAACAAATTGTGGTAAAAATATTGTTAGCTCAAATCTCTAACTTTTTTTACCCAAAAAACCTATTTAGTTAGCTTCTAGAAAAAAAATATTTAACAGTGTTCAATAACAGATTCAAAGTTTAATTTATTAAGCCAATATCAAGATTAGTAGGTTTCTTTTTTTTTAGATTTAATTATTATTTAATAAAGTAGCTGCAGAAACTGGTTCTCAACTCCCTCTTTAATGCTTTAAATTCCAAATTGTTAAAGAAAAATCTAAAAAAAATATTCAATTCCCTCACCATTTCTCTCCCTGCACACCACCCATTTTCACGGGGGAGTCTGCGCCCACGACTGCATTTCGGTCTCATAAATTGCAACCTATTTAAAGTGGGCAACACAGTGGCAGCCGCCGCAGCAGCAGCAACTCGCCTCAACTGGCCGCTGCCGAATGCCATAATTTTTAGCTCTAATTGCGACACTGTGAACAGGGGGGGAACTCGGGATCGGCGGTCCTTCCAGACTGGTCCCAGTCAATTTAGCTATTTTCGCGTTTATTTTTCATTTAATGAAATTACAATAAACGCCCGTCGCATGCAAAAGAGCCTAGCCAGAAGAGGGAGGGGAAGCAAGAGAGTGCTGACGAGGTGGGTGCACTGCATCCACATGCCTGGGCCACATGAGCAGTTGGCACCACAAAGCGCCCATTAGTGCGTTGGCGTCGTTCCAGACTTGGCTTTGCTTTACATTTGCTTTGCATTTGCCAGGCTTTACTTAGAGGCACTGGGAGGAAAATGGAGAGAATCTATAAATAAGAAAATAAATTATTTAATAAATATTTTAAATATTTTCTTTGGGTTTAAATATATTTTAAAATATTAAAGTAGAGTTCTTTACTTTTATATTACAATTTTAAGAACCTTTAAGAAAGCTTTCCTTGATTTGTAAGTGTATTTTAGTTTGTTAAACTCCAGTTAAGTCTGCCTACCTTTCCTCGACTTCGACTCAGACCTGGTTGTATGAGGTAATCCCCATTATTAGCGCAATTAGTGCAACCGCCTCGGTGCATGGGCCTAGGAAAGCGGAGCAGCGGCATTGTTGGGCCCTGAGTTATGTACCCACACTCATTTAGCGAAATGCCAATGTGTTTAGCACTGATTGGGAGTGCAGCAGCAGCAGCCGAGCCCATTGAATAGGCAAAAAGGATCCACTTCGGATTCGATTTGATTGAAAGAGGGGCTGCACTCTAAGCGGTCAAAGACTCGCCCAGATTAATTGCAGCTCCAGCTCTCTCGACTCCCTCTCCACTGGTTATGGCGAATTAGAGCGAATGTTCGCCGGTTAATTATCAGTATTATTCCCCATCAGGTTAATCGCTTCTCATACGGAACTAACGACCCGTAATAGTTCATAATTCGCCACGATGGCCAGCCTGGGCTGGACACCTGCTCTTGGGACGGGACCTGGGCATTAACATTCCGTTGGCTCACATCGCACTCGCTCCTGGGCTTTAGGCCCACTATCCATCCCATGTATACCATCTATCGTAGCTGTGGAATACCAAAAGGCTGGCCACCGCAATTACAAGCTGCTCCTGACAGCCGGCGCTACGTGACACAGCCCGCAAGGAGGCGAAATGGAAACACCTGTTGCGGTGGTGGCCACTGGCACACACACACCCACCCACCCATCCACCGCCAACTCCTCGCCAGCAGCAGTGGCGACCCACGCCGATGTCCGTTAATCGCCCGCCGCTCCGCATAACTTGTTGGCGCTGACAACGACAACGGGATTTTGAACACTGATAAAAAGCGACGGCTCCTGGTGGTGGTTATAGGGGGGTAAGGTGGTGCTGGCGGTGGTGGCGGTGGCGGTGCTGGGAAATCAAGAAAACCATATTTAATAAAATGACAGTGGCTGTCAGATGCCGTCAAAAGAAATACATTTTGCCAGCGAGTACACTGGAAAAATATATTAATGGGGGAAGAAAAAATCTTTAAAATATATATTTGTTAACAATATAATTTATAGTTTAAGGAGAATGATTTGAATTAACAATAAAATATTTTATTGAATTTTTAAAGCCACTCAAAAATATTTAAAAATGAAAATTCTTTAAAATTCACCAGCTTTATCACTAGAAAAAATCTTTAAAATATATTTTTGGTATCACTAAAATGTATATTTGAAGAGAAATGATTTGAATTAACAAAGAAATATTTTATTACATTTTTAAAGCCTCTTTTCTGAAGCTCAAAATTATTTAAAAATTAAAAATCTACATAAAATTCAACTACAATTTTATTTTGTTTTTATTTCTTCAACTTTTCTCTCCCTGCAGCGTTTGTTGGGCCGGTGGGTGGTGGTGGTGCAAACTTGGCTTGCCAGGCACGAGCTTTGGCCAGAAACCGCAGACAGTTACCAAAAGCCACCCGCCGCAGTCATAAGGCATAAGGCCCCGTCACCGTCAGCCAAAACAATGACAATCGCGGCGATTATTGAACATTGTGTATTATTTGTTATTGCATTTTGTCATTCTGTCTTGTCGCCTGTCTGTCCACCGCCATCCCCTCTCACCTCAGCTCCCCCTGGCCACCCACCCTTTATGGCCAATTAATATTAACGTGGGCGTGTGTGAGCCTTGTTTTCAACCGACTGATGAAGGAAACGTTATGCAAGACAGGCACACGGGGGCCTCGAGTCCTGGCCTGGTCGTAACTCCCGCTTAAGTGCGCAGTTAGGAGGTGTTCCGCCATAAAAAGCCCAAGATATGGCCAACAGATGTTGTTGCTGAGAGCTGCGTGAGAGATGGATTGACGGGGCAGAAAGGATTTGCTGGCTGGCCGACTGCGATATGCTAATTGAGACGGACATGACTGGCCGGTAATTGTTTGTCTCTCAGATGTGTTAAGTAATCCGATGACGGGTGAGGATATGACTGGTAATAAATATTTTTGTAAAAGAAAAAAATTAAAAATAAAAGATGAGGGAATTATTTATTTATTTATGTAGAAATAATTGATGAGATCTTTAGAGTTTTTTCTTAGAGGTTTATTATGGCTTTAGAGGTTCTTGGAGATTATGAGATAGAGAAAGAGTAAGCAGGTTAGAATTATAGATATAAAAAATGCTCTTAAATTCTATTATAAATATTTTATTTATAATTTATTACAAATTACTTTTTAAGTAACCTGACATCTGTAATAAAAGTAATCTAGTTAAGATCCCACAGCTACAAAAAGCCAATCCCCAATTGTTTTTGCAACTTGAAATTATCATAACCAAAAATGATTGGAAAATTCCCCCGAAAAGCTAAAAGTTCGGTTAGATGTGAGGGAATTGCGAGTGGAAATGTCTGAAATTTGCAACAAGCCAGAACCAATTGCTGGCCCGCCACAACGGCAACAATGGCCACGTTGTCAAAGTAGCAACGGCAGCGGCGAGGATGCAGCTATGAAAATTGCGTTAGAAATCTGCAATTTATATCGCGTTGCCCCGCGAAATACACAAAGGAGCGACGGTCCAGGCCAAAAACATCAATACAAGGAGGAAGGTAAGGGGTTTCGATGGCCAGAGATGCAACGACCCAGGTTATGGGGTCTGGGAATAGTGGTTTGGGTTTGCCTAGAAAAATTTGTAGATGCTCTTTTATTTGGTGTAAAGAATTCTTACAGTTTTATATCATTAAATTTTCATTGAAATATTTAGTTATCTTATAAATTTATAACAAGGACATTTATTTATTAAAATATTATATTATAAACTATATTTATTATAGGAATAAATATATAAAAATTTATAAATAGTTTAAGAAACCAATTTCTAAGGCTTTTAAAATCAATTTAAATGTTTTTTATACTTTAAAACGTGACTAAAATCCTAGAAATAATTATAAAACAATTTCCCATGAAGTAGCAAACCCTTTTAGAGTCCCATAATACCCTATTTCCTTAAGAGTAAACCCTGCCACGTTCGATAATCGCAATTGTTTGCAGCTTGCAACGCATTCCGAGGTCTGCCTGAGCCGCTGTCGTCGCCAGGTTGTTCGGCGGTCACAGGAAACATTGGAAAATTGAGCATGGAAATGGATGACGCCACACACCACAAACAACAACAACAACAACAACACAGAAACCAAACAAAAAGCAAACTCTACAAAAAAATAGCCAGGAAAAGCAGCAGCAAAAGAAGTGAAGAAGAGGAATGGCCGGCAACTGGCAGCAGCGGAAAACCTCTTCATTGAGGTCCCATCCTCAACCGAGATCCTCGCCAGCACCACATCCTCCCTGTCGTCGGCTGTCTCATTTCGTATGCGCAAGGCGTCTGCTGTCTGCCTTGGAGGAGGAGGAGCCAGAGGAACAGGAGGATCAGGAGGTGAAGCAGGAGGAATGCCAAGGAGCCAAGACTAGACCCCAGCTGCCAATTTGTTGGCCCAAAAAAAAAAAAAAAAAAAAAGAAAACTGGAGCAATTATTGCTGCTTGCAACGAACCAAGTGCAGTGGGTGCAGTGCATCCCAGTCAAATCGATTCGGTACGCATCTTCCTGCAACATGTGGCGGAAAGAGCGGGCAAAATTGATTTGTTGCCGTCCGAGTGTTAATTGCCACTCCGCCGAGTAGGAGTCGATGTAACTGTAACTCTCTGGCGAATCTAGGCCAGCAGTGGACTCCGCCCCATGGTGGACTAGGAGCTCTTGGAGCACCTGGCTCCCGCCCTGGTTATTACCAGGGGACGTGTGCGAATGCGTTGAAAACTCACAAATTTCTAATGATGATATATTGGCAGTTAGGCATCGGCAAGGCTATCAAATTAACAAGATCATCGCTTCCGGCCGGCAATTGCCTGGAATCTCTTGCACAGCCATTGACTTGCGCATTAATCTTGGCCAGTCGAATATGGAGGAGGAGGAGGAGGAACAGCTCCTTCTATGTACGTGTTCGTTCCCACAAAATTTATGCCCAGGCGACGACGACTTTGATTTCACGTCAAAACTCATGGGTGTACGAATGCATCATTTTGATGGTCATCATCAGTCTCTGACTATCAAACAATCGACAAACGGCTAACGGCGGCAACATGTTGCATTCAGGGTATAAGCCAAGTTGCTGCAATGCTGCAGCATTGCTCCACTGTTGCTCTGTTGCCAACAATTACCCGGCCAGGTCCGTTGACTGCTACAAATTTCAGGCGTCTCGGCCAGCGACAGCAATCTGCACGAGGCCATCTAACAGCAGCAGCAGCAGAAGCCACAGTAAATGCAGAGAGAAAAAATGTAGGTATTTTGGGGGATATTTTTGAAGAGCTGGTAGAATGTGTCAGGTAAACGTGTTGAAAAGGTCTTAGGGTTGGCTTAACGGAGGAAATTTTTGTGGCAAAACTTAGCTGTTCAACCATTAGCTAGGATATTAAATAAATAGGTAAAACCCTATCAAAATACTATAAATAATTGTATATTTACAATCAATATAATATAAATAATATACAATATTTTCCCCAGTGCATTTGGGAATCAGAGCTGCCGTTGCAGCGAGGAAGTTGCAACCTGTTTCTGCACTTGACCATGGCAACTGTGGAGACTGGGAACTTGCAACTAGCAACTCTGGCGACTGGCAGCCAGAAAAGCAGCAACATGTTGCCGAATTGACAATTTCGCTGGGCATGAGCAGCCAACTGTTGCTGTTGTTGCTGCTGCTGCAGTTGCTGCTGCTGCTGCTGCTGCAGTTGCCGTTGTCAATTGTCAGTGTTTCTTTTTTTATGCTGCTGCTGCTGCTGCTGCTCCGCTCTCCCCAAAAAGCCTGGTTTATGCAAATTGCAATGAATTTCCATGGCCTAGCTCGAGTTCAAGTTCCAAGTGGGCGTTTGATTTCAATCGCAGAGTTTGCAGCGTTTTCACATACGCGAATTGGGTATCTCTCTCTCTCCATATGGCTCTGGTGTCGACAAACGGATCCGATCCTCGTCCTCCTCTCGGATCCAACTTTCCGCATTAACGGGGCTTGCCATTTCGATTTTATGTTTAGTTATATATTTTGAGGCTGCTCGTTATTTTTCATTGGATTCTCCTTCATATTTGGCCTCTTGATCTTGACTCTCGAC